ATCTTGGTTATGTGAGAAAAGATTCGTTATGATGATTGTGTTATGGTCCATTGGATTTCAGTTTAGATTGAGTTAATGGGTTAGTTCGTGGCTTGATTATCACTCTTGATTTATAGATCTTCTAAAGTTGATTCTAAGGTTCAATTCTTAGTAGTTGATCTTGATGGAATAATCTTAAGGAGGAGCTCACTTAGAGAGATATACACCGACTAGTAGCTCATAACTTAAGCTTTTGGTAACGTGACCATTCTTACTTCTTCTTCCTTATGTTCGAGGACGAACATGATTTTTAGTGGTGGATAATGTAATGACCCGGAAAGTCATTTTTAGAAATTTTTACAAAATTACCATTTTACCCATCTCGGTAGTTGCCTTGAGTCACTTTGGATCAGTTTGTGAAGTTGGTTGGGAATTTTGAACTATTTATTTAACTACGATTATTTAGTTAACGGATATTTATTAAATAATTAATTTTTATTAGTTGATGTTTAATGAGTCAAGTCCATATATAATATATTTTAAGTTAAAACCCTATACCACTTGGCCCATACAAATTAACTTAACTGAGGATGGATGTTCTGAGTCAAACTCAAAATCAGCCGTAGCATCTCCGTAAATGAAGCAAATATAAGGTATAATCACAACCTTAATTCTTATTATTTTATGGATACACAAATAGTCGGTTATTGTTAATTTATGGTAACGTGGAGTTGAGGGGAAAAAGGGTCAGATTTTGACAAAATCTGCGAATGGCATATATATATTTTTTCGCTCTTTGTAGTCCTTCAGTAAAGGCATAAGATTTTAATACTCATATTGGATAATTATGACAATAATTGATATATGATTAATTAATCATTAGAAATTGAAAGGATTATATTGGTTGGAAGTTCTGGGGGGAACAAGATCTGGAGGTTGGCATTAATTTCAATTCATTCTTTCCGTAGTGAATAATAAATTGAAATTGGAAAATGCTTAATTTATACTTTGGATGGATAGGTTATTAGTTTGGGTGCAGGTATTAAGAGAATTGGCATGGTTGCCGCCACTGGTTCATAACCAGTTGGCTTCCTTTTTAATTAATATTATTATATTTATGATATTGGAAAAGAATTGGAACTTAACCCTAAGCTTGAAACTTAGGAACTTGATTATAGATTTAGGTGATCTTTTGGGTCTAGGCTAAACCTATAGTAATATGGGTGTTGTTAGTTTCAGAATCTTATTGTGAATATGTACTTGAATAGATTGCATTGATTTGGAAGCTCAACAAAAAGGGAAGGCTCAAATTTCGGAGTGATTGTTCGATTATTTGAGGCAAGTGGATTTCTAAACCCTTGTTAAGTGTATGGAATTCATGTATTTCCTTGTAATATGTGTTTAGGGTAATGAGGCTTGGTGATGGATTGACTTGTCCACATTGATTAATTCTAATGACGAGAAAGGGATAATAAAAGGCAATGTGATCAATTGTTTGTGTGATGTGTTGAGAATTGTTTGAAAGGCTTGTTGAATCATTGTTGATGTTGTATCCTGATTCTGTTGTTGTAAATTGTGCAATGTTATGAAAATGGTCATCTCTTCATTATTTGTGTGAACATGTCATTTGCATTGTTCTGAGACATGGTTGTGACAAGTGTTATGTGCATTGAGAAAGAATAAGAAAATAAAGAGGATGTACCATTTCGAGGGACGTATCGCGCGCCGCGATGGATACTATATTTCGAGGGACGTGTCGCGCGCCGCGACGGATACTATATTTCGAGGGACGTATCGCGCGCCGCGATGGTTACTATTATCGAGGGTCGTATCGCGCGCCGCGATGGATGCATGGACAGATATGTCCCCCATGGGTCCCGGACTGAGAAACAGCGGGTGTGTATCATTAGGTCAGACATGCATCACTATACTTGACATTGCATTTCATTGCATTGCACTTCTTTATTATTGGTGAACTTGATCTTGTGTGTTGCTGATCTTGTGAGTGCCTTTCTATGAAACTTGTGACTGATGAATATTGGGCTTATTGTTGAAGATATGTAATTGTTAGAGTGTTGTTGTTGAGGATATGAAATTGTTAGAGTGTTGTGTTGAGCTATGTGATTTGTGAACTGTGAACTGTTATGTTGGGCTGGTACTAAGCAGGTTAGTTGTGGAGGTGGTAATTGATAAATATTGAGCTTGTTGTTGAGAATATATGATTGTTAGAATGTTGTTGTTGAATTATGTGCTTGTAAATTGTGAACTGTTAGATTGGGCTGGCTTTATATAGATTGTAGTTGTGAAGGTTCGGTTGGGGTGTAAGGAGTACTTGTATTCTATCCCCTTAGCTTGTGTTTAGAGGTTTACTTGCTGAGTACCGTGTGGTTTGGTACTCACCCCTTGCTTCTACAAATTTTTGTAGGTTACGAGCCTGGATTTTTGTAGTACTTGTCATTCTCTTCTTTTCCAAGGCTTCTGGGAGATTTGTGAGGTAGTTGTTTGTCTTCTCAGCGATCCTTCTTACTCCTGTTTATGATCTTGTTCTACTCTAGAAACAATGTCATATGAGATTTGTATTTTTCTTTTGATTCAATTGTAATCCTTTAGAGGCTTGTACACGTGACAACCAGATTTTGGGGGTATATTTGAGTTTGTTACTAAAAAAATTTCACATTTTATTGTAATGGTTAAGTTTTAGGCTGACTTGTCTTGGTGGGTTAAGACGAGTGCCATCACGTCCATTTTTGGGTCGTGACAGTTTGAATACTAATAATTTAGGCATGTGTACTATATAGTGTACCTCTCGTTTAGTCATGGTACCAAAAGAATAGAACCAAACATGTATGGCCTAAAATGAATTAATTTATTTGGATACCACGTGATATTGTTAATTATTGGAGATATTCGTTAATTTCAATAGTTATATATGTTGGAACTTTACGCAATCAAGTCAAATTAACTATTTCTTAGATATATTCCGGGATTCCCCACTTCTTTGAAGTTATATATATATAAATATTGATTTGAAATTAAAACCTCATATCACATGTAACATACCTATTGAGAAGCGAACTCTCGCCAATAAGGTAAAAGGTTCATATAGCATATCTATTGAGTTATTAAGAGTTTTCGATTTCTTTCTCTCTAATAAAATATTATGATAATTTTTTATTTGAAAATAAAGAAAGAGACATAGTTTGCTTAGAACACACTACCAATTAAACACGTAAATAATTACTTTCCGTCTATACTATAGTGATAGTGGTTATCTTGATTTCAATGTGTTTATTTATTGCTTGTTGATTGAAAATAAACAATAGTTCAATCCTTTCAGCTTTCAAGTTTCACCATAATAAGATATTATTTTTCCTTCGAGATAATGCAAAAGAAAATGACAGGGTAATAATAAAATAATCTTTTAAAACATAAATTCAAACTTTACCAGACTTTCATACAAATATCAAATATCGAGTGAATAACGAAAAAAAGAAGAAGAGAAATTGTGTAAATGAAGGCACATCATTTTTGGTGTATACGAACAAAAATGGAGTTCATTGCCGACCTCAGCATATTTGCATAAATAAAATATATGCCGACTTGTTTCTAATAGTAACAAACCAGTAATTTTAATATCATGTATTCGAAAATAAAGTCGTCTTCGATAAAAAAAAATAAAAAATTATCACCAACGTGAACCTTTTTAGTATATATAGATCTGAATTAATAGAGTTTCTAATCAAGTTCATGATACGAAACAAATAAAATTGGCAAAAGGACCATTCCTATTTATGAAATAAGGTGGAGACTACTCTTTTCATTTATTTGTCTAATTTTAATTTTAAAAAAACTTTTAAATCATAAAGAGAAAAAGTTATGTGATCGAGACACATGAAAAATTATCTCCATCGATGATTTTTTATATAGTATAATTATTGATTATGAGATCAAATCTTTGACAAACTTCTTACTCTATTTTATCACTTTAAGATTAATATGATCTCATTTTTATATTTCTGTAGCCAATAAATTATTATGAAGTTGTTGGTGTTTGGTGAGAATATAAATATATAACGAAAAAGGGTGAAAAATATCCCTTTTATTGTAAACCTCTGTTATATTATTTTTTATCATGAACGTTATAAAATTAATGCAAAAATATCCTTCCCCAATATAATTGGCGCCTTGCACCATGACTATACTATCACAAGTGATGTAATAGTCAAAATATACTTTTAAAATATAAATTGAAATTTCTCTTATTAATACGTAATAATAGTAGATTTATTGGTCGTTCAAAATGCCGACTTATTTTGTTCCTATGAAATCACGAATACTTGGATTTATTGAAAAAGAGCGATTAGCTCGAGGCTAATAAAATTAATCCCATTGAATACGTAATATTAGATGCCAAGTTAGAATTTTAACTGAATAAATTTTAAATTTTATAACATGATTACAAGTAGAGGCTAACCATGTTGAGTATAGAAGTGTCTAACAACATCTCTTCTTCTGAAAATTTTACCAAGTATATATTAATATTTACATAAAGAGATAAATTAAACAAAATGATACTATTTGGAAAAAGTTAGTCGTTGATGTGTTGGTTTCCTTGTTGATTTTGTTGTTTGAGATTGAGCTCAACAAATATAACCTACTTATATGTATGATAATTAAACTTTATCTTTTCTTCTATAAATATCGATATCGCTTTTTAATAATTCTGTGTGGTATTGGACTTCTAGCTCCGCCCCCACATAGTATTATTTGTTATTATCAATTTAAATATTGATGCGTTGAATATTTTATTTATTTTATTGATATATGTGTTGTCAATGTCACCAAACAAATAATAGCATTGACTCCACGATCCAGAGAGATAAATGCAGATTCACCCAACTCTCCATAAATAATTTAAATAACACTCTGAAATTATGTCAGTCACATGTAGCGATATTTAATTGAACGCAATTTAAAAAAAAAAAAACGAAAAAAGAGATAGATACTTGCGATCTTAAACCTACAATAAATACATATTTTATTTAACTTGCCGTTATTATTATGAAAACGAACTATAGTATGAGCAACTCTTATTACAAGAACACAATAAGTAAAGTTGAAGAAAATAAAATTACAAATATACTATAAACTTAATGTTTGGATGCAAGAAGAACATCATCGACCACTTTGTCAATGTTCACATAAGATGATCCTGTTGATTTTTGAGCTGAAATTTCAGCTAATTTTTTCCATTCCATTGCCTTTTTCTTCATTTCTTTGCCTTTTTCACCAACCATTAATTCCCTAACAAGGCTTTCCACTTCATCCCTTTTCACATTATTATCAATTTCCATTCCAATACCCCATTTTGTCTCACTAAACCAACAATTTGTTTGTTGTTCCGCGAAAAACGGCCAACATAACATAGGCACCCCGCTAGTAATGCTTTCCAGAGTCGAATTCCATCCACTGTGAGTCAGGAACCCTCCTATTGCCGGATGATTTAGGACTTCTTCTTGTGAGCACCAACTTGCAAGCATTCCCCTGTTTTTAGTTTCTTCCATGAATTCGGGTGGAAGAATCGATTCATAACCCGATACAATATCGGGTCTTATGATCCATAAAAACTCTTGTTGACTATTTGCAAGTCCCCAAGCAAATTCAAGAAGTTGATTAGGAGTCATAACAGTAATACTACCATAATTGACATAAACAACAGAGTTTGGTGCTTTATTTTCCAGCCATTGTAAACACTCTGGCTCTTCTTTCCATAGACTCGACCCAAGCCCCTTCAAATTCTCGTCATCAACTTGTTTGACGAGTAAATGTAAGGGGCCTATTGGGTAGACAGGTGGAAGGAGAGTCCGGAGTGATTCAAGAACTTCACTCTCTAGTGTCTCAAATGTATTTAGGATAATCGCGGAGGCATTTCTCGCTCTCTCTGTTTCTTTTAGAACAAATTTGATCATGTATTCATCTGGATTTGTAGTTCTCAAGAAACTTGGAAGATCCCTTAAACGTACATCTTTCATCCCTGGTATAAAATCCAATGGTTTCTCTACATGTCCATTTGTAAAGTAACTTTCATCTACAATAATCCAAAAATCGAAAAAACGGTTAAAACATCAAAAATATCATTGATGCGTAACATAAATTTATTGTAAAATTCAATAAAACCAATAATTTGATAAGTGAAACGTGTTCTATATAAGTTGCAACATCAAGTCCAAATTCTGAATACGTCTATAGACAAATAAAAACATCGATAAATCGTAATACCTTTAAGTGGAGCATATCCTTTTTCGATAACAGTGGAATAATGCATGTACCCTAAGAAACCACAAGCACTAGTTGTCCAAAACAGAACTTCAGGGACACCAATTTCTTGTGCAGCAGCTAAGGTGAAGCTCATAACACCATCGGAGACGATGCACGTGACAGGTGGCACGTTCGACGTGTTACTAGTCTCATTAAGCTTTGCAAGAAGATCTCTAAAAGGACCTAAACAAGTTTCAGTTGTGGATTTACATAGAGAAGGTATGTCTTGTGTTGCATCAGCATCACAACTTGGGAGTCCATCAGGAATAGTCTCGAATCGGAACGACGAAAGGCCGTCGAGCGAATGGGGCCCACGAGACTTAAGAAGACGTCTATGGTTAAATTCAGTATTGACAAAAGTTATGTGAAAGCCTTTGTGATGGAGAATTTTGGCTAGTTTTAACATGGGATTAATATGGCCTTGGGCTGGATATGGTATACAAACTGCATGTGGTTTGTTTAATTCAGTACTAATTGAACCCATTCTTTCAATTTCTCTAAAAAAAAAAAAAATCTCAAAAGGGAAATGAAATGAAGGATTATTATTTTTTTAGTATGATTTGGTAAGGAAGATTGAAGAAAATGGAGATATTTATAGATAGTAAAGTACCAAAAAAGATGAAGACAAAATAGTGGTATAAAATGGGAAAACTCAACAATTTGATTTGTATAGGCTGGAAGGCAGGTATGAAAGTCAAATGTGACTTACTATACTTATATTATATAGTTTTATTATGCATTATTGGTAAGATATATGATGATGATATAATGGTTTTAATAATATATATTTTTTTTTTTAACGGAGTAGGAATTTCTACCGTTTTTCTCCCTTGATTATTTGTATTCATAATCTTAGTATCGGAGATGGAGAGCATTTACAACTATTTGAACAACTCTTCCTAGCAACAATATATCTAATAACTAAATATTTTTTTTCGATAAAAATCTAATGACTAAATTATTATATAATAACATGTGCAATAATTTTACAAGGTTAACTTTTAGGTTTTTAAAAATATTATGTAAATAAAATTAGTAAAAATGTTCAAATATGTCATCGAATTTTGAGAAAAGGTTCTTTTGTGACATCCGATAAAATTTTAGCTCATCTATGTCATTTTTGTTTGAGAAATGGCTCATTCATGCCATTATTTTGAGAAAATGTTCATCTATGTCATCCGTTAAAAGTTTGATTTATTTATATCATTTCAGTTAACAAATAATGACATGAATAAACTTTTTTTTCTCAAAATTCAATGACATATTTTAATATTTCCCATAAAATTATTATTTTTTAAAAGGAGGGAAAAGCAAAAATTGAGGCAAAGATAAATAGAAATTTTGTCTTTAGAGGGTACACAGCCAATGGTCCCCCACCCCACCCCACTCCTCAAACTTGTCTTTCAACATGTTCGTGGGGAACAATAGTAATTCACTATTGACTTGATGCACCGCTTAAAAATCAATAAATAATAGGGTTAACATCATCATTTTATTCTTTGATTTTATTAAATTTAATGCTTTGAGAAATGTGTTAGATAATAAATAAGATTTAATAGCAATGGTAAAATAAACACAAAAGATAAATTATCTCTTGATTTTCTAAAATGAACAAGTATTGTTAGATAACTATTTTTAATATAGTTGACAACTATTGTTGGGCGGAGGAAATATATATCAATTACTAATATCTAAAAGCGCGTTGCATATGTACCTCATATCAATTATCATAAAATTTTAAACAAAATCACATTATTATTTTTTCCCGTAGAAGTTAATGTCTTCAAATGCCTTATCATATATTATTAATCTCTTTATATGGATATATCTTTTGCTTCGAGAATATAAATATGAAAAGGCAAGGTTGAATATAGCAAGCATGCAAAATTCTGAAATGCGAAAACAATATTTAAACAATATTAATGCATAAAAAAATGAGCAATTTAATTATAGTTGAATGAATGCCTGTTTTTATAAATGATGATGTGTACATGTTTGACAATTTTAAAAGACTAGTGTAGTGCTATAATAACGTGAAAAATCTAAAACATATGATATAATAATTCTTTTGAAAATTATAAGAGTAATTTTAAAATTCCAATACGAAAAATTTATTTTATGTTTAGATTTTTTTTTTAACTACGATATTAGAAACAATAACAATAAATATATTCATCTGTGACAAAATATTATCCATAGAAAAAGGAAATAAAAGAAGTAAATTAAAGATATGTAGGTCTCAATTAAATTATAGTTTAGAAACTAGTATAATTCATAAGATAACTAGTACATATTATATGTAACATATACCCAAACAACATCGCGATATGGAACAACTTAACTTTGCACGTAATTTTGATTTGTGATTTGGTAAGAAATAGCATCAATTTCATGATAGAGTAATCCGAATAAAGGGATTCAAGATGCACGTAATTATAATTTGAACCCAACTATGAAAGCAAAATCCAAACTTCCAAGGTGAAATTCGAACTTATCTGAACTATTTTTCTAACATAGAGATTCAAAATATAACAAAAAATAATAATTGTGTCTTATTTATTTGTTCAATATAATTATTTGCCTTTCTCCATCTCTTTCATTACATTAACATATATCGATTCTTCAATATCAACTAGTCCTAGTGCCCACCTCTCTAACCATTAGTACCGATAATACCCTTCTAGTCCCCAATTTTTTTAACCTATTAGACACTTTGATATTAACAAATGCATATTTATTCGACCAATCCTTGGCCTTGACGTTAGCTTGGAATGATGTCATGATCTAGATAGTATGCCATAAATGCCTATTTGTAGAGAAATTGAATTGAACACTTGAACAGAATGAGGAAAATTCTAGAAGAAAATCATCTCAAAATATCTTCAACTGAGAGTGAATACAATGAATTGAGAGAATTAGAAAAACTAACTAATCTTCTACTTTATATAGACTCTACAACTTAATTACATAGACAATTGGCAATTAGTTAAAGTATTAACAACTAACTAATCTAACAATTTTTCCTAACAGTTACTCCCTCCGTCCATAATTGTTTGGCAGGTATACTAAAAATAGATGTCCAAAATTAATTGTCAATTTAAACAATCAAGAATAATTAGTCATTTTTTTCCAATTCTGCCCTTAATGATGGTGTAGTTCAATTAAAAAGTTATGTGGACTTTTGGTATTCTTGGTATAGTAGGGTTATATTAGTCAAATTACACCTTGTATTAAATTTTCCTTGAGGGGTGTGCATGACCTTACCCTGACAAACAATTGTGGACGGAGGGAGTAGTTATAACTAACTTAATTCGTCTAAGTAACAACTTCTTTCTCATTACTATTTCTTTTAAATAAAAAAAATTATCAATTTTATTTATGTAACGATATTTAATCAAATATAAACTTTAAAAATGCCAAAAAAAAAAGGCCTTCAATACTTATAATCTTAAAATAACGTGAAAAATTTTGTGAGTATTAAATTATTTTAAAGGTAACTTGGAAAGTTTAGTTTATATTTTTTCTGAATATATATTGTCATTCTTCTTGAACATATGTCTAAAAAGGAAAAAAGAGTGACAGATAAAATGGGGAAATGGATTTCTATATTTTAGTGTGAAGTTATTAATTAGAGTAGAAAAAAATAGCCAATTAAATTATAATTCGCCTAACTTCTCTAAGTTTGGATTAATTATTGCTACACCTATTTATTTATGAATAATTTATTTCAACCCATTCAAATTTCTCTGTGACAGCATCCAAATTAGACGGTCTATTCCAAAGTCAAACTAAGATATTAAAAAATGAAAATTTTGAAAAAAGAGATATCAAGTAGCCAATGTCGACCAACCATAATGAACAAAAAGGCAAAACAAAAAAAATTATGGGGGCGTCCAAATCATCTTTTAATTTCTGTTAATTTTTTTCTATTCGATTCTTTCTAATCAACTTTTTTTTTATGTTTCGAAATCATACAAAGACAATTTCTATTTAATATTAGTTCAGATTTATCTAGCCAGTATACTACAGAAATTAATATAACTAAACATGAGTTTTTGTCTTTAGGACTGCATAATAGTTCATTATTTTCATTATTTATTAAAAAGATTGTACTAAATAAGAGATATTATTTTCTAGTCTATTATGCAATATTATTAATATTAAATAATCAACCTAACCTACTAGTTATAATTAAGTTTGAACACATTTTTGACAAATTAAATAGTTTATGGAAATGAATATATTACTTCAAAAACTAAAAAGGGACAAAAGTGGTTAACTCCAACTTAATTATAAACCTACGTAATACATATACACATAAAATTCAATTTTTTGGTTTTTTTTTAATCTTTCTAAATCCGAAACCAAACCAAAAATCCAAAAATCCAAAAACCCAATCCAGATTCAATTTGAAATTAATTTAATTTTTCCATTTAATCCAAACAATGCATATATATCCTACTCACGACCCTCTTATAATTAAGTTGGAATCACCCTATTAATATTTTCTATGTTTAATATATAGAAAGTTTAAAAGATTTAGGTAGAATCTCGAAATAATTAAGAGGTTGACGTTTGAACCCTACGCATCGCGCGAGGGATTAAAAAATAATATTTGTAAAATATTGATAAACAAGGGATGATTGTTCTAATCAATGATGCATTGCATGACAAATTTTTGTTGGAGTAATCGCTTCAATATAATATCATTATCCTATAATATAATATTAGTAATAATGGAGACTTTATTTTATAATATCTTCTATACATAAATATCTCTATCTTCTTCAATCTTCCTTACCAAAATCCTTCATTTCATTTCCCTAACGAGAAATTTATTTAGAGAGATTGAAATATGAGTTCAAATAATGTTGAAATAAGTAAATCACATGCAGTTTGTGTACCATATCCAGCCCAAGGCCATATTACTCCCATGTTAAAATTAGCCAAAATTCTCCATCACAAAGGCTTTCACATAACTTTTGTCAACACTGAATTTAACCATAGACGTCTTCTTAGGTCTCGTGGGTCCCATTCGCTCGACGGCCTTTTGTCGTTCCGATTCGTGACTATTCCTGATGGACTCCCACCTTCTGATGCTGATGCAACACAAGACATACCTTCTCTAAATGAATCAATAATTAAAACTTGTTTAGGTCCCTTTAGGGATTTACTTGCAAAGCTCAATGATAATAGTAACACATCGAACGTGCCACCTGTCACGTGCATCGTCTCTGATGGTATCATGAGCTTCACCTTAGCTGCTGCACAAGAATTGGGTGTCCCTCAAGTTCAGTTTTGGACAACTAGTGCTTGTGGTTTCTTAGGTTACATGCATTATACCACTCTTATTGAAAAAGGATATACTCCACTTAAAGGTAATGAATAAACCGCTTCTATTAGTATTGCTCAGTATACCAAATTTTAATAAGAGACCTAAAATTTGAATATGGTATACTTGATATATTTAGCTAATTCTCATATTTTTTTGGAGAAAAATGTAGATGCGAGTTACTTGACAAATGGATACCTAGA